GGTAATTTCCCAAATAGGAAGAAAATGAGCAGTAAAATTGAGTGGGAGGAAAGATGTACAGGCAAAAATGCAAATGGTAATTGGAAGCTATTTGTAAAGAGTTGATGAGCTGTCCAGGAAGGAGAGGGCAACTTTGGCCCAAATCCAAACCCCACTTCACCCGCTTCAGTGGTGAGATGAGAACAGCAATTAGATATTAAAAAAATCAATATATGACAATTAAAAAAAATGGAAAATAGATAGCCATCAATCGCAGTGAGAAACCATGATGGGTGGAGAACTGGTCAGGGGAGCTCAAGGTGCTGAGGAAAACTCGTGCCTGGCACAGATGGCGGGAAGAGGAGAGCTTCTCAGGGTCCTGGAGAAAAGAGAAACCCTAGAAGTGATGGATGGAAGAAGCAGTAAGGTAGAAATTTTTAATAAATATTTCTGCTGTATAGCTGGAAAGCAGCAGTGTTGTGTTTCTGTATCATAGGCAGGTGATGACGTTTTTTCTACCTCATTAGTAGCCAAGGAGGATTTTATACAAGGTCCAGTGGAGATAAATATTTTTAAAGGAAAAGGCCCTGACAACTTGCACCCAAGAATCCCTAAAGAATTGGCACGTGGTGCTGGTTTTTAATAAAGCTTACAGACTGGGAAAATGCTGTCAAGAGCTGGTCAGGGTAACTGTGGGAGAGTTGGCAACACTTTGCTTATCTCTTCTGGGCAAAATAATTGAACAGATGATATAAGATTCAATTGATAAAGAATTAAAGGATAGAAATATAATTCATGCCACTCAACTTAGATTTATGGAATATAGATCTTGTCAAATAAACCTGATTTCATTCTTCCAGATGACAACTTTGGTTGATAAATGTAGATGAAATAGACTCTGCAAGGCGTTGGGCGCGGTGCTGCGTGACATTGCGGGCAGGAAGGCTGAGCGCTGCGTGGTATTGCTAGCACGGGCGATTAAGAGCTGACCAAGAGAATTCGGAATGCGGGAGCTTAGCCAGAGAAGCATCCATGGATGGGAGCGGTCAGCAGGGCCTGGTGGGGGCTGCGGTGGTGGTTAGTGTTTTGTTGGTGATTTAGAAATGAATATGCAATTGCGACTGATTAGTGTTGTGGATAAAGCAAAGGAGGTGGACTGATGAAGATTAACAGGGATGGGTTTATGGGGTGGTTTGGAAAGACTGCCAAGCAGGGTGAGTTGAGAGCACGGTTGGGTGCAACCTGCCGTGGTGCCTGGCTGGAAGAGGGGAATTGGGGCCATGCGTACAGATCCAGGGTGCGGTACCCCAGAAGGCAGCAGCTCTGTGGGAGGCTTAATGGAAAACCAGCTCCTTCCCAGCACGATGCTGGGCTGAGTAGGGCTAGGCTGGTCCTTGAGTAGTGGAGGCGGATGGAGGGATGGCTTCAGGGTGGAAAAATTACTGTATTTTGAAGCATGCCTTGATTTCAGGGTGCACAAGACCCCCAGTGTGCGTGGGGGGGCACACTGAGTAATAAGGGGCTTTTCAGTGTGTTGGCCAAAAAAAAACTCAACAGAAGAAGAGAACGGGTGGAGGTTGGAGTCAGAGAAATTCAGGTGGACCCAGTACTTGTCTGTGAGTGTGGTTAGCTGTGGAAACCGAATGCGGTGGCAAGCTCTTCTTGTCTTCTGAGCTACTTTGAATGGTTTTCACTGGGATTTTGTGCTTTTCCCTGAAGACTGTTCGCGGGGCTGGAGGAGGTTACACTTTACCCAAAGACATCGTGTTGGTTACGGCACAGGACAGCTGAGTGACACATAAAGCAGGAAAGGTCAGAGAGTGAGGGCTGGTGGTCTCTTTTGCCCTTAAATTCCTCAATTTGAAGCAGCTGAGGACACAGGCTCCAGCCCCACTGCCAGTGGCGGAGGAGGGCTGGTTCGTCAGTGACCCTCTCTACATCTTGATCTGAGGCATTCCCACTAGCCTCTTGGAAATTGGCCGAAAGCTCTGATGGCATCGCAACGCTGCTGTGGATAACACGTCCCATCACATTGCCTCAGTGGATGGTGAGGCATGAAGAGCCCCATGGGATCTTCTCCGTCTCTGTCCTTGGCTAGAGCCGGCTACTGCATCTCCCTGCTATGCTTCCCTCGCTTGCCCATGGTCTTGCCTGGATGCTTTAGCTGGGAAGCCTGTGTGGACGTAGAGGCTGGCCCATAGCTAGGAAACATCAGTGGATCTACAGCGTTTGGGTACTACGATCCTGTCCGGCTTTTGGGGGGACCCGAACGCAGTACCAGAAAGTGTGGTGGTGGGATGGGAGGAAGGAAAGGCAAGGCCCTTCCAAAACCAGGGTTTGCCGTGGCAGTCTAAGGATGGACCCGTCTCGCCGCCGGCAGGCAACGCATGGATTAGTGCCATAATTCTTGCAGTTTGGCAAGGCTGCATCAGACTGGAACGTATCTCTAGGTGGTGATATGGTCAGTCAATAGCCTTCATAATTAATCAAGCACTAATAGACAAATTAGAAATCGTGTCTCTTCAAAGCAGGAGGTGGAGGCAAGTGGCTGGTGGATTTTAACTGTTTCGCTGCTTTATTTTATTGCCTGGTTTTATGTTGCTCCCTTGAAAATGGTGGGTTGTTTAGGGAAGTTTTGTACATAAACATGATTTTAAATATAAATCATTATCTTGATTACCAAATGTGGATGGTGAATTGAAAACTTGTTTTTCAGGCGAGCAAATGAAGAATAATATTACATTTTACACTCCACTAAATCAATGTAGCCCTAATTTTGCCATGCAGGAAATCAATTCCAGTCTTTATAACAGTCGAAGATGTTATGAACAAAGTAATTTTGCAAATTATGACAAGTAACGCATTTATTGATGACTGTAGTTTAGGAATTTAGAATTTGTGAGCACTGTAATATAATAAGGCCGTACTGGCAGGAGCTGAGTGAAATACAGATTATACGGTGAAACTGTAATGCATCATTTGCTATTAGTGGACTGGTAATAATTACCAGTTTCAAAGCAGCTTTTTCCATGTAATCTTTAGTCTCAGTCGTAACAGCCCTTCTCATTGACATTATGATTACACGAGCTGCCCTTCTGATCTAGAATATCTAGTTGATGGGAATACTAAAATGTGGTAGTGAACGCTCGGTGTTGTATCCTCATTATAAGATAAAATGCTATTTTCTCTGACCTGATCTATAAGGTAGAGAGGCGAGGTAGCGTTACGTTGTTAGCTCCTACCATGGTGTTAAAAACTTCCACTTCATTACAGCGAAGCAAGATGAAATTTTCCCATTTAAGATTTTTTCCCTAGCTCACAAATGAGCATAGGAATGTGAAAGTCCAATTGAATTTCCCTCTAATTTCAGCAGATTTAAGTATTTATCTGTGCTCGCATGCCTGGCACATACTAAACACCGCAATGCATTTTATTCTGACACCGGCTTCGTGATGAAACGTTAACTATTATTCTAAGGGCTTTTTTAAAGTGATTAAAGTGTTAAATGCCTGCTGTAGACGGTCGAGCCTCTTTTTACTCGCTCGATTCAGCTTGTCAGGCCAAAACGTAGGATAAAACGTAGGATAACAGCAGAGCCAGAAAAAGCCGTATTTTCTTTCCAAATCTACCTCGTTTGTTTTTTCTTTTCCTTTTCTTCATATTAGGCAAATAGGGGAAACCACATGGGCTCTCGGTGCATATGAAGCAGATGCCTCGTAACATTGGTGTTGGGGCAGGGCAGCAGTACGCAGTGCGGGCAGGCAGCACCCCAAGCGCTGATCTCTTTGGGGGGCTCCTGTGGTTTATTCAAACCTCAAGAGCATGTTTTTTTTTTTAAATATCAGTAAACAGCAGCTCTACAAGAACTGCTGGGCAGGGCTGGAAATTAATTTTTATCTTCCTCTCTTAGCTCTGGTTTCAGTTTAGTAAAAAAACATCCATAAGGGGGTGGAAGCGAATTATTTGCAAAATTACAGTAATCGATAAAAGCGCACTCACCTTTGCCATATCTCAC